CACACACACACTCACACTCACACACGCGCGCGCGCCCGAGCACACACCTTGCTTTTCCCTCATTTTGAATTCGTTCGATACTCTAATTTCGCTCTCCCTCCGCTTCACGCACCCGGCTGTCAATTAACTGGGCTGTTCCATTTCCCCCCCCTCCGTTTGAATAGGATGGGCACAGAGGAGATTCGCATGGCCCTACACGGATGACACTCTACACCCTTCATTCTCCACACTCTTCCTCCTCTTCGCGCTCTTCTTCCTCCGCATCCTCTTCCAATTGAGGATCTCTGCCTCGTCCTCATAAACTTCCGTCCTACTCATTCCCGTGCTCTCTCTCTCTCTCTCTCTCTCTCTCTCTCTCTCTCTCTCTCTCTCTCTCTCTCACACACACACACACACACACCCAATATCCGCCTGACTTATCTCTCCCCCGACCTCCTCCGTCCCCTTATGCCAATCTCACACTCCGCCTGACCTCCTCACTCCCCACACCACCTCCCCCCCATTGCATCCTCCACGACACCGACACAGCCTACTCCCTCCATCCCTCACTGCACCCGACCTCATGCCCCCCTCGGTTTGGCTTCCTTTCGTTCTTAACGCCACACATAAGAGGTGCATTTCGTCTTTTTTCTTTCCGTGGACGTAAACGCTGCATTTCTTATCAAGATCACAAAACGCTGCACAGGTGTAAGAAAGAGAGGGAGAGAGAGAGACGGACACACATTTCACCTAACACTCTTGGAAGCTCTTTCTTCCCCTTTACGCACTTCCTTCCGGGTACCTTCTCCTCTGTCCGTCTCGTCCACCACCCAAAGTTCGTCTCCCTCCTCCTCAAGTTCTTCCTCCTCAACATTCTCAAAGCAGGGAGGGACGGACGGCGGAGAACCGAGAGATAGGAGGGAGGGAGGGAGGGAAGGGGGACGAAGGACATAGGTCCGAGCCCCAGGGGAGGAAGTCGCGGGGCCGAGGGAGAAGCACCGACGCAGGAAAGGAGAGGTGGAGGATGATAGGCCGAAAGACGGAGGTGATGGTGCCTTTGGTACTCTCTCTCTCTCTTTCTCTCTCTCTCTCTCTCTCTCTCTCTCTCTCTCTCTCTCTCTCTCTCTCTCTCTCTCTCTC